CTTGAAATAACTATTTGTATTAAATTAATCATTGATGTCGAATAAAATACAATACTATTTAAAATATATACATTATAATTTTTCGATAGATTTTAAGAATATTTTCACTTTTTTGAGAATGTATCAGAATTAAAGACAAGGAAGTATTTCGTTGCGAAAAATATACAAGTTTTTATGAGTATAATGTCGTGAGAATCTATGTCGGTTATATTTATACCCTGAAATACGTTCTTTTTTTCTTATAATTACAAAGGTTGATTTCAATTATTATATTGTAACAATAGTTTTTGTTCCTACTAAAAGCAATTTTTAATTACAATTTTTTCAAATTTTCTAACATTATTTAATAAGGTGTATGTACACAACAACTTTGTTTATAGATAGAATATTACTATTACTGAATATTTAGTATTAAAATATTAATTATTTATAAGTAAATTATACGTCGAAAAATTTCTATTAATTTCTGAATTTTTATATACTATAGAATATTTCACAATTCGTCTACGATGAAATTCTATACTTTTAAATTTGTACTAACAATCATATGACTTAATTAATATATTTTTTTGATAAACTAATCAATTATTTACTGCAACAATATTTTTTTCGCTTTCATACACTATATTTTGTATTGATTATTATATTTTCAATGTTCTTTTAATATGATATAAATAAAAATTTAGAAAATGACATAAAATTTATTTTCTAATAATTATATTTTCTTAATTTTACAATAGTTCTTTGTATTTGTTTATTCAATATACAAAGATATTTATAAAAAAACAAAGTGTCTAATAATCAAATACAGCTTAAGTGTAGATACATATGCTTTCAGGTTCCATAAACAATACATAATAGTAGAACATAATAGTTAAATCCATGATTTGTCAATCAAAAATGTGAAGTTTAAACTTTAAAAAAATGTGAATGGTTAACATATATGTATAGTTAGTTAACGTTACTATGAATATTTTATTAAACTTAATGAGGATAATTATGAATGGTGACGGTGCATTCTTTCAAAGAATAAGTTACGTGATAATTACAATAACCCAAAGAGCGTCAGCGAATTGGCTTAGGTGCGAGTGAGCGATAGTATTCTTAATATTCTTAAATCCTCGGATTGCTATTTAAGATTAAATTGTCTCATGTGCATGCCATTGTTTATACACGTGTCAGTGGCAGATTCTTCCTCTGTGAATCGGAGCACTTGCAATTCACATATCAAACTTCGGTCACGCAAGTCGACGCGTAATGATTTACGCAACCCAGAGGGACACGCGACTGTGTACGTATGCGTTTCTATTGTCCTTCTCTTGAAAAACACATTTACGTACATATACGAGCCACAATACGTACTAGGTAGTAACATATGAGTTTGAGACAGTAGGAGAATCGTAAGGCAACACGGAAAAAAACACGACTAAGATCGAGGTGACAAATGAATAGGAAAACTCCGCATTTTTGCGGGATATATACGTTAATAGTAAACTGGGAGAATAATATACACCATTGCCCATACGACTATTAGTAGGTCTTGTGAAATATGTTCCGAACACTAATATTTTCATCTCTCGTATTACCTGAAAACGTTCCTAAGTGAATTACACATTGGTACAGTAATCATAATGTGAATAAAATAATAAATTTTTTGTCTTTATTTTATTAAAGTGTTTTAATAAAGTTAATCTTATTAAAGTAAATTACACTACTTTACAAATGAAATATATGAGTATGAGGAAAATTATAATAAATACAAGTTTAATAAAATAGTCAACTTTTAATAAGAATTTTATATTAAGAAAATTTAACAATATAATGCATTTATGTCCTAAATTTAATAATAAATAGTTTTTCTTTGTCTTCAATTTTTGATTTTATTATAGAAACAAGTATTATTTATAAATTTAGAATATTAAATTAACCAATAGAAATTAGTAAATAAAATAACAATTTATTAACAATTTGTAATCAATACTGGAAAACCTATATTTATAATTATATTATAATTATTTTATATATAAATAATATATAAATAAAATATATAAATAAATAAATAATATATAAATTATTATATATAATATATAAATAAAATATATAAATAAATAAATAATATATAAATTATTATATATAATATATAAATAAAATATATAAATAAATAAATAATATATAAAAATATATAATATACAAAATAATAAATAAATTATATTATAAATGAAAAAAATCTATCATTTTTAATGATATTGTTAAGCATACGAATTTACTCAATTATTATTTACATTACATAATTGAATACAATAAACTAGGAATGGATCATTTTTAAAACTAATTCAAAAATAATAATATTTTATCATGATTTATGATAATTATAAAAATTATGAATTTCAAATACAATTCTGTTAGAATTTAATATTTAATTATATTAGTTTCGAATTTACATAAGCAAAATTATATTAAGTTCTATGTTATATATAAAATGTTATATAATTTTACTAATAATAATTTACATCACGTTTTATGTATTGAGTCATAATATTAATAACAAATTTTGTTACTATTTGAAAACAATCAGTTACTTAACTACTTTGAGTCTTTTAATTATTCGTTTAATCACTAATTGCACATACAATAATACCTTCAAGGATGTATACCATATATAAAAATGCAAATGAAGTGAATTGTGTAAATCCCATAATGATTTAATAATCAATTTAGTGTTTATTATTCTGATTTCATAGTCATAAATTGTATAAATTCAAAATTTTCGTTTTCATAAAAAGTTAGAAATTGTAATATTCAAAAGATTCAAGTTATATTATAAAAAATCATCTTTCTAAATAGAATTACTTTAATGAATATTTTTAAAAATTAGTCAAAAATTTTGTAAAATTAAAGAATTAATTGTACTTCTATAAACATCTTTAATTTCCTCTTTTTTTCGTCATATCTTTAATCAAATTATCTTATAATTTTCACAACTTGGTTTTTAATCATTTTAAGATCTATTTTATCTAAAATGATTTTTACTTAGATTTTCTTAAGAATTTCATACATTAATTGATAAAATATAACTAATTGTTTCTGCTAACATACATAAATGATTGATTGAGATAATTTTTGTGTGGATGGATATCCGATAAAACCTAAACTAAATATGGTGATTAATGTATTTTATAAGCTTACAGATTTCATACTATAATTAACAAAGATAGTAACCAATGCATTGAAACACAATATGTTTTCCTCGATCCGAATTTCACAAAGTAACTCCAAATATTAGCAAATTTGATTTTCCGTGCTTAGACGACACAAACATATAATTTCGCAGAAATTCAAGAAACAGAAAAAAGCAACAGCAAAATAGGCTCGTATACCTAAAGAGCATTCTTGGGCGTTCGCAGTATTATATTATGCATCGTTTAGTGAGGCTCTACCGTAGAAGTGTCGCATTCGTGTACATGTTTATGCTCACGCAACTTCCAGTCTTCTCTTTAAAACAACTTTGTCATTTTCCTTAATATGCCCCTCCAATTCAAGTATGCATTTTTCTTTTCTTTTTCACCGCGTCGACCTTTTATTGGCAGCATATTTCTCGCTTAATATCATAATTGTTGGTTTTTTTTCTCATTACAGTTGAAGGTGTGCGGGCATTATTATGCAACATTTAACATGCAGTGATTATGAATTGAGCACACGCCAAGATGCGTGGTTGGAAATATACTTCTTTTTTAACATGCTAAAAAGTTTTAATAATATAAAGCATGAATAAATAATCTATAATTCGCTAACTGAGTAATCTTGATAAATAATCAATATTTGTATTGTTTTGAAATATGACGATATTTCTAAATTATATATCGATAACTAAAAGTATCTGAGAAACAAATATGGAACTAATTTCTTAGTTATAGACATTTATAAAGTTGATTATATAGATAATATATAGATAATTTGCTTATTTCGTTGGAATCATACAATACATGCAAATTATTTAACTGTGCCCACTTTATTCACTATTGTTTTCTATCTTCAACAATTTATTTTTAAAAGAATGATTATTTATTAACTTTACTTCTAGTATTTTTTTTTAATATTGATGTTATTAATAAAAAAATCAGCATTTATAATTATTTACGTTTTGAAGAACCTTTTTTATTTAAAATGTCAATTTAAATAAATTATTATTTTGCATGCAACAACTACATTTTCAAACTATCAACTTTGTCCACTTCTCATTTATATTAAATTGTTTATTATCAGATACAATTCATCGAAATATTTATATGCATTTAAAAATAATAAATTTATATGATTTAGTTTTTCATCAAAATTTTAATGAACAAATATTTATTCAATATTTACAAGTATTTTTAGAAATAATTTTATTAAAATACAAATGATGATAAGTAATTTTGATGAACGAATATTCATTTGATGTTTGTAAGTATTTTTGTAAAAAATACTACTAAATAATTTTCTGAAACATTAAATACATGAAGTATAAACAGAATAAAGAATAATACATTTTATTTAATTTAAAATTACAATACCTTTTTAAAAATACCTTCAGATTAAAATTATACAACATTCATAAGTATATAGAATACAGTAAGCCATGTACTAAATTTTAAGCCATTGAAAAAAATATTACCAGTAAAAATATTTTTAATCATGATATTAGTTGAAACTATATATATTATATATTATGTATATTTATCGTTGCAAGTAACATTATTCTATCAGAACTCATTTCTCAATAGCTGTAAGTGAAACAATGTGTAACTTTAAATGCGGTTATTCGTCGTATTCAAAGTAGATCTTGCGTTCAGATCAGAAAAGAGGCTATAAAATAAAATAAAAAGATGCAAAAGCCATGAACCAGACCATAAGCAAACGGTACAAAGAAGATATAGTCATTATACATATAGCGTAAAGTTGAAAAATATAATAGATAGACGTGATGAAACAGTAGAAAAAAGAAAAATTAAGAGACTCACCAAGCTGTTTCGACGCATACTGCTGTAGCAAACGCGTCCTTTTTTTTTCATAACCTTTTTGTGTGATATCTCCTACAACAAAATATAAAAAGAACAAAAATAATAATAATAATAATAATATATGTATATATATATATATATATATATAATTTGTCATATGGTTTCATAATACTATAAACTCAGAGATTAACTTCTACCATTCAATGAATGTGAAGAAATGTAATTCAATGTAATTGATTTTTATCTTAGATTTATAAATTTACAGAGTGTCATAAAATATCGAATATGATAAATAGTTTATATTATTAGATTACAAACAATTTAGACTTAAAATTAATATAATAGAAAAGTATGAATTGAATATTTGAATAAACATCTTAATATATAATAAATATAAATTTAATAAATAAATATTTTTATTTTTAAAAACGATATTTTAAAATTTTAAATATCCCACTAATAATGTAAAATTGTATAAAAATTTAGTGCAAATATTTTAACTTTCATTTAATTCCAAATATCTATTTGAAAGTACAATAATTAAGCTTACTCATATCGAACTATACATAAAATTTTCCTTAAGAAATATCATTTTTGATGAAATATTTTAAATATCCATAAAAAAATTGATCAACAAAAGAATTCTTGAAAGAATGGTTGAAAATGCATAATTTGCTTATAATGTACTATTAATATTATAGTACTATACCAGTATTTTATAATAGAATTTTTATTGCTACCCATAATAATAACTATATGATAAATTCATCTTACTTACAATTAAAAAAGCATTATTTTAATGTAAACTGTGATATATTTAATGATTTTTCATTTAAAATAACAGAAAAATTTAATTCGTCAAATAAATAATTCCAATAAGAAGACTCACATACTAATCTAAAAGAAAACAAATAAATGTGAACTACGGATTTATTATGACGCTGACAATTACATATCTCGAGTATGCAGAGTTGTCGAAATTAACGCATACATGCACAGTGCAGAGTCACGAAAAAAGCACAACAAACGAATGGATAGCTTTATCGCATTCTTGGGTAAAACTCGACCAATGCACGTACCGAGCCTGGCCGACAATGGAGAACGCAACTTGCCACGAAAGCGTCGACAAATCTCAAAGAAAAATCGCTCATTCATGTGTCTACCGAGCCAATAAAGCCTAATAATGTTACCGTTAAGTCAAGGCTTGCATCTCGTATTTATAATGAGTTAGAAAAATAATAGTACTAACAATTGGTTTCCGAATTAGTTGATAAAATATAATGTATTTTTTTTTATTTGTATTTAATTGCTATTTTAGAAAAAACGTATCTAACGTATTTGGAGAATTTAAAATTTAATAATATAAGATATAATAAATTAATGAGAAAAAAAATTTTTTTTACTTGACACACCTTAGTACATAAAGTATGTAAAATGCTTTTGTCGTGTAAATAAATTCATAAATACTTTATAGAAAATTACAAAACATTATAAGTATTGTTATTAATTATAATATTATAAATATTTCTATACGATTGTTCAAAATTTTCATTCAATAAATATTTTAATTTTGTGATATTGAAAACTAGAAGTTTAATCAAGTGATTAATAAACTAACATCGAAAAATCAATAAAATATAGTCTTTGTTCAACATTTTAAATAAAAAAATTTGAAACAATCAAGTTGTATGAATTTGAATCAACCAATGGATAAAAGAGGCATCGATTCAATAATGAAATAGTTCTCGCTGTGAGGAATATTTTACATTTTTATACCCACGCAACTGCGCATTACACGCAATGCATATTTACTAGCCAATGACCGTTTTATTCATCGAGTGAGTCTAAGTTATGCGTGCGTTATTCGAGCTATATCCTATCTATATGCCATGGAGTTATGCTTGGTAATCCGGCAAATATCCCGCAAATCGACATTATTTGAAGACAAAAAAGGAATGAGTCTGGTACTCATAAACAAACGACTATTTATTTGAATTTCCATTTATTTTAAAAATCTCATGAATTTTTGTAAGTATTAAAAAAATCATATTTCTAGGAATATAAAAAAAATACTTAAATATTAATTGAAATTATTATTCCTTTACTATATTTTTGAAGAACTTTTTTCTTTTAACAAATAAATTATTTTGTTTGTTCCAACAGTTATATTTATAACTTAAATTTATTAAAAAAAGTAATTATCTACATTTTTTTCGACACTTCAATCAATAAATAATAATTAGAAACATAATGATAGATAATTATTGATGTCTTTTATATTATTAAAATAGAAAATCTAGAATTTAAATTATTGTGATTAAAAAAAATTTATTTCATATTTCAGTTTTTTTTTGTTTTAAATACACAGGTTCTAATGCAATCATTAAATAATAAGATTTACTACAAAAATAATTGAATGACAAATTTTAAAAAAATGTGTAATGCAAAAATAAATTGTACATTTGAAATAATTAACAGTAACTATTTAATAATAAAATAGATATAAATAGTTATTTCGTACTTGTGAAATAATATAAAACAAAATAATAGATTTTGAACCTGATAATTTCTATAAAACTTTGTTTCAACTTAAAATGAAGTTCTCCATATAAAATTTAACTTGGAGATCAATACGGAAATCCTGTTTATCATTTTATTCTGAATTTAGACAATTTCATGTTGCAGTTATTTCATTAACATAAAAACGGGATTGGAAGAAAAATTCAATGCTAGTCTTAACACTTTCCATTTCATCGAGTTCGCAGGTATATTTCTAACTCGCGGGAACGATGAAAAAGAGCAAATAAATACGAAAATGCGATGTGAAGAAATGTAAAAGTCTCATCACGTAATTGTAATTTCGACTCTTCCGTTTCTTTGGCGGAAGTTTCGAAAAATTCCAGTGTATACATAAACTCGTGTGCACCCACATATATAAAGTATGTTCGAATACACATAAAAAATCAAGACAAAATTAAATATATTAAATTTAATAGAAAAAAAATTATAATAAACCGTTAAATATATGTATAACCAGATAAAACCATGATAGTTCGTTATATTGTAAGAAAATTAAAGAAGACAAAGCTAAATGAAGAGAGAGGAAACAGAGAATACAACAACATACGAAGCAAATTTCAGCGAGTAGAACGTTCAATCGTCACGCACCTTGCCTTCACGGAAAAAGGAAAATCTGCGATAAGAAATGCATGATTTAGAAAAATATGAAATCATGTAGGTACTATGTGCGTCAATGTGTTGTATACGCATAGCTCCAGGCAATACATGTGAGTTCGATACGCTACGCGGAAAGCGAGGAAGTGAATCTCGAAACGCATATCCGAGAGAACACGCGTTAGTCTTACGAAAATGCATGCGCGCGCATAATTGCACAATGCATAAGACTTTTATGCCTGTATTTTCCTTCTGTCTCTTTATTTATTTTCGGAAATTTTGGAAAATACGACTACGGCTTTTACTATTTAATATATTTTGTAAGGAATATAAAATAAATTTCTTGTAAGATTATATTTTTAATAATGTTTAGCAAAATATTACTATAATATTATTATACTACTATTCTAAGTATTATTATGAATGTTATTATAATAACAATACAAAACATTATTATTATATTGTTACAAATATTATTATAATAACAATAAAATATATTATTATTATATTGTGATAATAATAACCTTAACATTATTAATTGCTCTTGATACATTATATTCTTAGTACATTAATAAATATGTTGTTAAATAAATTAAATTGTTTTATATGCCATATTTTAACTTGATAACATTGAAAATTTTATGAAAACAAATCGAGTAAATGGCAATAGATAAATGATGTATAGATATTTCAAATACTCTAAAATATTGTTTATTATTCAATTAAATTTTATATAAAATTTCTTTGAATTAAATTGATGTAAGTTAATTAAATCAATCAAAATATAATATAATATTACTAAAAACAATTAAGAGGCTAAAAATATTATAATAAGAAAATACGTCTAAAAATTTTGTACGGAAGCAAGTTTTATGTCAAATAATGTAACAATTAACTAATGTATGTAATTTAAAAAATATAAACCTAATAATAGAAATAAATAATAACAAAAATATAATTTGTATTTTTATGTAAATAAATAGACATATAATTTTAGATGTGTAAGATATGTACTATTGGAAATATTTTAAAATATTCAATTTTTTGTTTTGTTGACAAATTTTCAGACATATTACAAAAAATAAATTTTATAAACTTATTATATAAATAAGGGTTTAGCAATCTTAAAAATTACCGAAAAGCAACTTTGAACTATAAAAATAAAAATATAAAAATATCACTGCAATTCAAAACATTTTTCTTTAATTCAAATATGCCTAAATTTAACCGTTTCTTGCAAGTATATAAGCAGCTAAATAATTCTATCTAATTTATGTATTGAAATGATAATGTACAGTATTCTTATACAGGAGTTTCTAAATATTATTATTCTGATAATTTGGTTTTTTATAACGTAATATATTAAAAATCATTTAAATTGTGAATGAAATGAAAAATAAAAATGCGATTTTTCATTTAAATAGAGAATGTAGTTATGTATTTTATTAAAAACCCTCTTACTGCATGGTCTTCTCCTGAGGGAGGATCGTCTTCTCGCTAGATAAACTGGCTGTCCACGGGCATTATTGCCTGCTATTCCTGGGCCTCGTCTCAACTGCGATCTTCTCCTCAGGGGTCGTCTTCTCTGGCCAGGCCCTACCTCTTGCTGCCTGCTGGCGGTACACGATCTTTGACCCTCAACTACCAATACAACTGAGCAATTTCTCCTTTCGTTTACTGTTTTAGCTTCAGTGACGTTCAGGTTCAGTGCATCTTTTGCATCCTTTTTATTACTACCAACAACCAATAAAACTCGGCGCTGTTCATCAGGCTCGCTTTCACTCGATGACGTGCAATCATATCGTGAATTGTGTACCACATTCTCGGCATTACTTTTCGCCACAAAACCTAGAAATTGGCTACTCGCAAAGAAATTACTTTTCGTTAAGCTACTGTCTTTCGACTTTTCACCGCGATATTCTTCGTAAAAAATCTTATCTTCATTGAAGTCACTTATTTTTGGTTTCAAAGATGCTAAACTCACCGCACTTGACAATAAAGATGAGGAATCGAGAGTAGATCCAGTGTCCATTTTTTTAGGATTCTGTTTTTCTTCTGATTTTTCTTCAAAGTCTCCTGATAGTAGAAGTTTTTTGTCATCAAATTCATCCGAAAGGTTCGAATCATTTGACCAATCATTACTTCTACTATCAACATTATCTCCATCAGATTTTCCGTCTTCTTGCGGTAAACATCTAACCTCTCTCCAAACTCTGCCACGTTGACGATTGGACCTCCGTCTTTCTGGTGGCACAAACCAAACAGGAGTATCCAATATTGTTCCAGGCTTACTCATAGTAATTTTTCGTCTTCTAGAGGCGTATGTTGCTCTTCGTCTACCACTACCCACAGAGCTTCTTCGAGATTTTCGGGTAGATGAAGCTGCAGCAGCTGTTCGTTCAAAATATCCTTCAGCACTAACACTCGGAGCTGGCTTCATAGGCGACGTTCTTTTATGCCTTCTAAATAGCCCATTTTTAGTAGTTAGAGCTGCTGCTCGTATATCCGTTGTTAACCTAGAGAAAGAAAGAGATAAACTAAATCCTGAAGTTCTTGTATTTGTTTCTTTTTTAATGGTAACTGGTTTCTCTGGCGCCGAAACAGTTTTGGCAATGGCAGATCTTCCCTTATATTTATCATCGAAATTAATTCCAATGCCTTGATTTAAAGATATAAGAGATTTGCTGTTTTTTGCTAAAAATGAAGAATCTTTCCAAATATCTGAACGAACATTTACCGTAGTAACACTACCGGACTTACAATCATTAGAAATGTTTCTGGCTTTATTGTTTACAATCATTTGAACATTTTCCATCTCACCTCTTTGCAATATTCTAGATTGCGATCTTGGAAAATGAGGTGATTTATCGAGTTCTATAAGTACCGACGAAACTCTTCGATTATCGTCATTATCAATCAGATTTTGTATAGGTGGTAGTACTATATTTCGCTTTGTAAATGGCCGATTTTCTTGTGAAATATAAATCTTTTCCTTAGAAGAGTCAAGGTTAAATTTGGAATCTTGAGATGAGTAAGAGTCTATTCTGGATTTTGTATCTCTAGATGAGTATGAAGAATCAACATCATTCAACCATTGGCCATATACGATTGTTCCTGCAGGTGTATCTCTCTTTACTTTTTTTTCATCTTCATCGTCTTCCTCTTCTACTACTTCGTTCATCCCAATAATTTCAACGCCATCGCGAGTGATTTTTTTCTCGTTTTTCTCATCCAAATCAAATTCTTCAGATACATTATCACCACCGTGAACCTGAATAATAGTTGGGCCTACAATATTTTTTGTTCTGGTTCGTGAAGACACTTCAATTGTTACCACTGAAGCAGCAGTGATAGTATCAGATGTATCATTAGCCTTCTGTAGTCTTGTACGTCTTTTACCACGATCCAGATAACTTTTCCTTATAGAGATGCGCTTGAAGGACTCACTCCGCTCGAAGGATGGCTCGTCCCGATCCTTCCTACGGCCGACGAGCCTCCTGAGGTTCTCGAAAGAGAGCGTCCTCATCTGGTGTTATTCAATTAACAAAATTTTTCTACATACACGATAACCGCTTTTAAAATAATATCATTCGACAATTTAATATTTTAATTTTAAATAACAAAATAATGTTTTTGTATCAGGAGTAGAGCTACCGAGATCTGTTATTTTATATATTTAATCACAATTTAAGAACTATAAATTTAAATCACTTCACTAATAAACTATTATGACGTATACATGAATAGCGAGGCGAGGTCCAGCTAACCAAAGTATACTGCGAGGAACATCCGAGGAGCACAGTTTTCATTTGACTTATTTATCGGGCCACTCTTTTACGCTTTCCCTCGACTACTACCGCGTATTACGAACATTAACAAAAACATTGGTGGAAACATCGATATTTTATGGATACTTCTTCAAAATCGATAGTTTATCGTTAAAGAAATTTAGTGTAGACAAGCCAAATAGCTTTGAAGATCACTAATTCATGATTAAGTTGATAATACATTTGAATATAGTAATAATGAAGAGGTCTAAAATATCATTTTATATTTTTATATACAAATTATATAATCTGTTACATTAATGCGTTCTTATTTCACATTGTATTTACTTTGGATACTTTATTCACTGTTTAGACATTAATGTTATCTGCTTGAGCTAACTTAAATTATATATTCTTATATCTTCCTTATCTCATTCTTCTTTATAGCTTTATTTATCCCCACTCTTTAAATTTCCTTTGTCATGTCACGTTGTACACTTGCTTTTCTAATTATCTTGAAACACTGTAAAATTCTTGCCTCTTAATTAATATTCATTATTACTATTCTTTTTCTTCATTCCATCTTTATTTCTATATTCTATATTAAACAAGCATATCTCGACAATTTATAAATTTCAATGATTCACAAATATCCTTGAAATATCTTTCGAGACCTTTCTTTTTTGTATATTTGTATGTATAAATTATAATTATGGATAGATATCTTTTCAAATAATTCATAAAACGTTAACATCTTTGTGTTTACTCTCATTGAAAACGTAATTTTTTATTTTTAAAGCGAGTTCATAATTTATCAATCCACTGCATCTCAAAAATCCACTCGATCAAAGCATGAATGCATTTATATCTACTCTTCCTCTCTTCTCTCTTTTGTCTTTAATCTCTTCGACCCTGGCAATCCAGTCAGTAAGAGCAGACCTCGAATTATCCCCGTTTCGTCCTTAAACTCTTCCGAATGCCGGATCATGTGTATCGAACTGATACTTCTTTTTCGTATATATCTTATAGAGCTGTATCTTTCGTCTTCTTTTGCTTCTTCAGCTTTTATTTTTCTAGAATATCTGATTCCAAAATAAAGTTTCCTATTGGAATTGTTAATTAAATATATTGAATTAAACGATACGTATTTTCAATTCTCGAGGTCACCAATGTACATCACCATGCATACAAAATAAAATTTACTATTAATGGTATATTGATAAAATTCAAGACAAGAATGATCCTTTTTAAACTATTGATTGTTTTTATTTATCAAGTAATCTTAAGGGTTCACAGACATTCGGTATCACAGAGAGAATTCGAACCGGGTGTGCAACGACTCTTTCACTGCTTCACTTTCTTCGTCACGATCTCCCCACTTGTTCGCCCACGCAAGTAAGAAGGGGAAAACTTTTTAAGACCTGTAGATATATACACCTCGCATTGAATTACGCAGACGATAATTCCGACTTATCGTACGTTTTCGATTTCACTTGTCTCAACCTTCTGCCAGTCTGTCTTTATTTTCCTCTCTCTCTCTCTCTCACTCTCACTATTTATCTATTTGTTTATCATCCATTAATTTTTATATATTAATAGCGAACAGAAGACCAAACACCCATAAATGTAGTTTTTCTTATTCTATCGCAGTTTTTTTTATTATTTTGTTTTTCAAGTAAACTTGCTCGTCGTTATTTAAAACAATACAATTGACAATCAAATTTCACTAAGAATCTATTTTTCTTTAAACTAATTACTAAATAAGCCAAACTGATCACGTCTCTATTATTTAACGCGAAGTCCGGCACTACATGTTATAGTTACACAAATACAAGAACAAAAAGAGAAAATTCCATAGAAGATTCGATCGGGCAAATCCGTACCAGCAGAAAGGGCAGAGTAGAGAGAATTGCGCCGTGCCGTTCTCCAAGAGCAGCGTGCCTTAGCAAATGTTCGCCAACCACTTGCGTTGCTTCTAATTCTTGTTCTCTATATCTTCGCTCTGAAGATTGAAGATCCCGTAAAAAAATTCTTGCACACAAACCTTTTCTTTAAATTATAAGAGAATTATTTTTAATTACTATATAAATAAAGGTTTCATGTCTTCATTATTATAGTATTAATTTAATATTCTCTTAAAAGTAGATTCAATAATAATTATCGATAAAATTAATTCGAAGCACCGTAATCTAAGAAATTAATTATTATAAAAAATTGAAATTTCCTTCACTGTATCCTCTTAAAATATTTGTCACTATACCAACAATTGATCTGCATATATATTTTCTATGAAAATAGCAATATTGGCAATTGCAATAATTAAATGTAAGCTTTTATCTTATACCAATCAACAAATACTCTAAACAATAATATTCAACAACCCCATACAAATATTGCTCCAAGAAAAAATCCATGGATACTGAAAAATTTCAATTCGATAATAACATTCTCTCTATACTCCTCTCATGCCTCGACATTATAAAGAGTCCCTTCTCTCGCGAATCGCGGATATAATCCGTACATGCATGCGTCCGCGGCTCTCGCGAACGAGACGCGGCACTCGACTGACTGGTCTCCCTGGCTTTCCTATCCTTTACCGCGCGCACCGTCTTATGCGAGTCTCGAGCCGCCGAGGAGGTAAAAGCCCGTGGAAAAGGCAGGCAGCCGGGCGGTTAGCGGCGACTAAAAGTCGTGACACGGGAGTACAGGAGTACGCGTGCGAGAGAGAGGAGTCAAAATGAAGGAGAGGTGCAGAGGTACATGGAGGAGTGGCGGCATGCCGTCCGTCCACTCTCGCTCAGCAAGCTAGCAAGTCTCTCTTCTCTGTCTTCAGCTCAGCATCCTACTCTCGCTCTCGCACCTCTATATCTCTCTCCTTATTTCTCTCTCTACTCATCTTTTTTTTCATTTCGTCTCTGCTGCCCTTGTCCGCTTCGGCTATTCCATCTTTCCTTCTTCAGACTGATACCGATGCTGTTGCTTTTCTCTTTATATCTTCAGTTTATAATATTTTACTCCCTCCAGTCTTTATATATTTCCTTCGCTCGCTTCATTCGTTTGCTTTACACATACAAACCCACGAACGCATACACATATGCGCGCGTACACATACTTATACAAAATATTGATTTTTAATTACTTTATCGATATGGCTACAATCTAAACAAATTGAGAAAATATAAATCATTCCAAAAATCAAATATTAAATTAATGCTTGTAAAACGCTAATTTTTTCTTTCAGAAAAATTTCTTAAACTAAGACGTCTTACAAAAATATTAATAATACAAAAATATACGTGTTGAATAGTTTTATAAGTATGATCATATCCTATCTTGTTCAATTAAACCATTATGTTATTATTTTCGGCCATGATTTATTGTTATCTACAAATGGATTATAAATGAATATAAAATATAAAGTCAAAAGAATTACTTATTATTTTAAGTGACCTACATCATTTGATTTATTAATATATTTCATACCAATAAAATTGAATGGAATTTGAGTACGAAGTAATATTTTCAAAACTAATAGACTTTTAAATTCTCCCCCCCTCTCACTCTCTCTCACTCTTTAATGAAAATCTATCTACCTATCAATTTATCTATCCATCTCTTCATCGATCCAGCCATCTAGCCATCTATATATCCACATTCATTCATTTATTTTTTTTTTTCATCCATTTATCCAATCTATATATATTTCCAAAAACATAAACTACACATAAATTGAACTATAGTTACATTTTCTTTAATCATACCTTTACAACTCACTTCTCTGTCTGCACCCCCCCTATAGCCCCCCTCTCTTCCACTCGCTATATTCTCTTTCCTTTTATAAAGACAAAATTCGTTAAAATGCCTTTCCCTTTTTCTTCTTGTTACTATTTATTTATATTTTTCTGATGATTTATTATCCTATAATCGCGTTTTTCAATATCCCTCCTATCATGTTATCCTTGGAAATTCTCCGAACTGGCATACATTACTTATTTGCTTTTAATATTTGCTTATCGAATACCTGAAAAAATGGAGATTAAATTTGATGTTTTTTGTTGTTATACACATTTTTCAGGCTATTTAATTTTTGTAACTTAATTGAAGTAAGAAGTATTTACGACTGAAAATATTTAAAAACTGATTACCATCTTTATTAATTAAAAACGCTTTAAATTCTTATTTTTTATGAAATCATAACAATCATTTATTAAAAATGTAAATATTTCTCATTATAATTTATAATTAAAACAAATTTTTTTAAATTCACTAAATAAATACATAGATGAAATAACATTAAAAAACAGGGTTTATATTAAACCAAAATATGACAGTAAAACAGTTAAATAAGAAAAATGCAGAAGTACATAAAAGAGATTAAAGAGAGCGAAAATTGAAAAAGGTATAAGAATGTGTACAGTGGTTTCTTCATTGGTCTGCTCTTCCCTCCAATCTTCTTCATACATTTTCTCTGATCTTTTATTCCTATTCGTCGGTATTATTCTCTCTCTATTATTCACGTTTGCATTCATTTTCTTTCTTTCTCTTCTTTTCCACAGTTCATCCGCCTATCTCGTACTCATGCTACCCACCTCTTGCATATCTTGTTTTCCTACTCGACGCTGGTTTTTATTCAGTGTCCTTGTTTCTCCTTGTATATTCTATTAGAAGCTACGTATGCGCGTATGTTTGGTTACATTCCCCGCATACCTTCATGTTTTTTCTTTCTTAACCCTTATTTTCCTTCTCTATTCTTTAAATTAATTTTTCGATTTAATTTTCTACGGCAATTGTTTCAATTATTTTTTAGTTAAT